ACACTTGATAAGATCACCTTTGGCAGGTAAACAAGTCTATATAGGAAATTCAGTAGAAACATGCAGCCTACTTAACTAATGGTGGGAAAATTGAATTAGCCCACCAACATCAACTTAAACGAAACAGGGTGAATACAGCTCTTAGATCAGATCTACAGGCGGTCGCAAACACCCACTTGAAACAGAAAATTTAATACAGTACGCTAGACATTCAAGAAGTAGACGCCAATCGCGGAAAACCCTCATTTGTACCTTTCCATATTGATTTGGTACAATGGCAAAATGGCTACGAAAATACCCATACAGACGTTCAGACTATGCAGAATTTCCCTCTCTTTCTTCTAACTAGCCTGTCGAAGAAAAAAAAGGGCAAAAATAGGCTCACCGACGGGAAGGGTGGGGCAGGGGTCGAGGATGCCGCCGGTGGAAAAGCCGGGGGCCGGTAGGCACCGGATACACCGGACAGATGGGTCATTTGGCCTTGGCCACCAGAGCGTTGGTTCATCAACGGAGATGCTGCCGAGGGGTGGGGTGAGGTGGGGGGGGAAATAGGCAAGAAGTGAGAGCGGTTAGTGAAGTAGGCTTGTGGCTTGGCCTGAAAGTTTTGCATTCTATTGGCCGAGCTCATGATGGACGTGCGCACCCGCAAGTAAAGGATAAGCTCTTGTCAGTCGAGAGTGGGCAAAGTTGAGGCGAACAAGGCCCCCTCAGAACGAGGGCGCAGCCAAATTGTTTGTTGCAAGTCAAGTGGCCATCAAACCGTCTTTTGAGCGGTGCCAACGCAATGGCAAATGGAAGGACAGTCGAATTGTGAAGATGTCACACTGTGATCGTCTTTTGCAAAGCAATTTTTCCGCACAACCCAGCCCGGTTCAAAGCAAAGATTCACGTCTGCTTAGAGTCAGTTTACACTCCGGACAGAGGGTGCATTCGTTTCATGACTGTCTGACAAAAAAACCCAATAACACTTGAACTTACAAGGTCCAAAAAATTCCAGTCGCCTAGAGACTAGTCGAAAGTGTTCCAAAAAACCTCCACTCTGTTCACTCGGACTAACAGGCCTCGCTGGAGGCCACTTTATAGCTCACAGAGATCGATTGGTTGCCGAGCCGGCAACCATCTCGCAGAACGGGAGCATAGGGTGTCAGCGACAATTGACGTCCTGACCTATATTTGTCCCCGATCCAAGGCGTTAACCCGGTAGACACAGTCTTCCCATACAAGAGTTTTGCCGCGGCCGAAATCCAAAGGTGTTGCCAGCTCACAACTAAAATGACACTGTGAAGGAAAGATGAGCGGTTGTAGCCATGGCAGCAACCGAAATTAAATTGATAAGCCAAAAGTCTGCTTAGCTTGAATCACAGTTCTTGCGAACCCAGATTACGGTGTCGGCAAGACAACTGTACCAATATTCGACGCAAGCATGCTTAGAATTTATTGGCGATCCTCTAATTAAATGGTGAAATTAAATGGCATCCTAAATCCCACTCATAGTGTGGTGTGGCGAAAACTCGACTGTCTATAGATAAATCTCTAGGCGACCGGGGCCAAATGAGATCTTATTCCCTAAAAATACTGCCACACTGTCGAACATGTGTATGTGTATATTCATGATGTAGGCGAGAGCAAACCAGATGACCTCTTCGTTTGGGGCCTGTTGGCCGTCGAATAGACGGCTAAGAGCTCTTAAATGCATTTCTAATGGCACAAAAAGACAAGAAAATGTGGATAGCAAAATTCGTCTTCGAGACCCTTCATCGTATGCACGTCTACAGGATTAGAGGCAACATTGGGTGCTGTATGAAAAGAAGCGTTAAAACAAGACCAACGGGTATAGGACACCTACTAAGCTGGCCGAGTGAAATGAGTGATTAGTTGAGGCTGAAGAGGGAAAAGCGAGGATAGCCGAAATACACAAAGGAGCATGATTAAAAGACTTTTTGTCAATGCAAAGTCAATCGAGAGAGAGAGAGAGAGAGAGAG